TTAGGTATCGTGTTCTATGAACCGACTTCCTCTCTCTAACCAGCTGGTTATAACTTCCTGGCACTTCCTCGCCGGGGGTCGACCCTTTACATTTTATTTTATTTTTTTATGTATTTATTTTAAATAGGTAAACCCGCACGCCCTACATATGGCATTACACGAGATATTTTTTTGTTATCTATAGGTAATATCTTTGAATAAAACGAAAGTCTGCAGCTGATAATATTGTGCTAGCGGAGTAATTATTTCAAATATCAAAACCCATGTAAAAATTCTTTTTAGGTACTTACTTTTTTAAATAAAATTAGCAATTTTAATAATAATAGAATTTTAAAATTTTTTATTCAAATTTTTGATGAAAACACTAAAAAAATGCAATTTTTGAGAAATTACAAATAATTGCAGAAATTCAATGATTTTCAAAAGTAATAAAATTCTTCTCATAAAATTCAATTTTGTTCAAAATTTTTTTAAATTCTCGTCAAAATCCCAATTATCTTTATAAATAACAAAATTCTGCCCCAAATTTCAATTATTTTAAAAAATGTCAATAAAATTCTGGTCTTAATTTCAATTATTTTCAAAAATATTTTTCATTTCAATGATTTGCAATATCTAGGTACTATTTTAATAAAATTTCCCAAAAAGAATTTAATTAGGGAAGGGTGGTCCCATACCGACCCCCAAAAGTGCAAAGGCTAAAAATGTGCCAAAAATGTGTTTCTTTGTCTTCGTCAAAAGTTTTTTGAGTAAAGGAACTATTTTTCAATGTTTTCTGACGGTTGCCGAGGTTTCTGATTGTCATTAATAAAAGATCTAAAAAAAGCGAAAATTTGCGTTTTTAACTTTTTCAAAATGGGTGGTCTGAAACCGACCCCCATTTTTTTGGGGGAAAATCTCAAGAATAATCAATATATCAAATTCTGATAGTAATTAAAATAAAATTCAAGTCTGTAATGAACTGTTAAATTATTTTGACTTCATTTAAATACATTTTTGGACCTTTTTCTGAAAAAAAAGGTAAATAAATGAATCATTAGTAACTTTACTCTGAGATTATTTATGTCTTTAAGTTATGTTGACATAGTTAAACTTGAATTAATATTATTACTTTATTTAAATAAATTTTAAGGCCTTTTTTAAAATGATAATAAATATAAATTGTTGAACAGTGTCTATAAATTTCCAATATAATAGCAGCAATGGTTTTGCCTGTTTTAATTTTCGCCCTATTTCTAGTAAAATATATACGAATTTTGTTATTAATTCTTTTTCGTTTTCGTACTTAACTGCTTCCAAAGATGTCGAAAAGTACACCTTTTCTTAATTCATATCGCCTTGTAGAGAACATTTCACAACTGACAATGAATAAAATATTTAACCCAAAGAGAATTAAAGTTAAGTAATAAGTGCTGTGATTGTTAGTAAAATATTTTATAAATTCCTAAAAAATAAAAGTAAATATGCAAAACCTATCCTCACTTTATGTGAACAATAAGGAAGAAGAGAATAAACAATTACAATGTAAAAATATGGGGGTCGGTTTCGGACCACCCCACTATTTTCACAAAATGTTTTGCCAATCACTTATATCAATGAAATCAATTTAATTTGAATGTTGTGCGTTGAAGTTAAGGTCATACACAATCAAAATTAATTTCGTAAAAATTTTCCTGTATTCAAAAAACACTGTTAGCTCGAATTCCGTATAGGTCAAAAATTAATTTAAACAATGCTAAAATCTAATATTGCTTGAATCTTCAAAATGAAATCAAACGCATTGATAAAACCTGTGGCCCAGTTGTTGGTGTTGTGAAAGTGTTCGACTGATGGTATGGTACTGGTGAATTTTTTAGTGGTACCATCTTCAAGAAACATAAGGGGGTCGGTATGGTACGAGGGGTCGGTATAGGACCACCCTCCCCTATATAAAAAAAATTTTAATAACATTTTACACATACATTTAATTACTTTCATGAATAATAAAAATTTCACAGGCATTTAATTATTTACAAAATTTTTTATAAATTTCTTCGTAATAATTCAATTACATTTTCATAAAAAATAATTAAAAATTCTAGAAAATAATAATTGAGTTGAAATGAAGAAAATAATTTTGAAAAAATTACAGTAACAATATTCTTATAATATAAAATAATGATTTTATAAGTTGTTTAATTTCAAAAAGGATTGAATTTAAAATTTTTGAATGTCTTAATTCCTGTGGAAACATAGTAATTATTAAATATTTATTTAAAAAAGAAGTTATTGATGTTTTCTAATAATTTTACAAAGAAATTCGTAAATAAATGTAACAGAACATTTTTTTCAATAAAATTTTTTTCTTTACTTTCTAAAAATTTTAAAAGTTTCAATTTCATTTTTAATTAAAATTTGTATTTGACAATTAGAATTTATAAATATTTTCTTCCTTTATTTTAAAAAATCTTTGAATTTTATTAAATTAAGAAATAGAAATGATGCAAATTATTTCCTTATGAAAATTGAGAATTTTCTACAAAAATATTAAGAAACGGGAATATATGTAATGTTTTTTCCCCAAAGAAAAGAATTAATTTGTGAACAATATTGTTATTGGTAAATAAAAATTATGCACAAAATGGAAATTTCTTAATCATAATTTTTTAACAATTAACAATTGTCTAATATTTTTTATAAATAAAAATGAGAAAAAAAGCATATAATAAACGAAATTTATTTATTATTATTACAAATTTATCTGTTAATAATTTTTTTGAAATTTATTAATTTTAAATATTATTTTATTATAAATCATGAAAAAATACCTGCAAATTTTTGATTTGTCAAAAAATACTTTTTAATATTCAGTTTGATATCCTTATAAAAAAATGTGTTCGCAAAAACTGTTTTTCCAAATATTTTCTGTTTAATATTAGAAAAAATTGTTCCACCGAAAATTTTCTGATAATTATTCCAAATAGACTGCTTTTCCCCCAAATATTAACAAATATTCAAAAAACATAAAATATCACCAAATATTCAAAATTCCTCCAAATTTCGAAAAAATGTCCATTATTTTATCAAAAACAAAATACCAAATTTAACAGACAGTACATGATTTGAATATTCAAAAAGAAACTTTAATGATGCGATCAAGAAACCCAACTCGACAGAATTTAATATAAGAATTCACAAAAGTGAACGCAAGCAATATACACGAAAATGTATAATGTAATCATAAAGACACGTGGATGAAGAAAAAAAGAATTCCAAGTATTTATGCAATAATAACGTTATTATTTGTTGTTCAACTCAACAAGCTATTCAGTCATACCCCCTGCAGGGGAAAGTTTTTTTTCTCTCTCTCTTAAAAAAAAAATCTTTTCGAATACCTGGCGAAGAAAAGGTGTTAGGCCAGATTAAAGCCTCACGGCTCTTTAATTAATTAATAATTACTTATTAAGTCGAGAGTGACTTGACATTTTTCATCAATAAGTAGGCTTCGTTTGTTCACCAAGTTTTACGTTTGTTATTTTCTCGAACACTCTCGTCACTCTGGGGGGTCAAACTCAGAATCTGTGGTATGTGATACACCAATTTATCTATATACTTATCACACACATACACACACATTGTGCACGATTCTACACAGAAAAAATGGATGGTAAAAAGTTACAAAGGTAATGGGTAAAAGTTGTTTGGGTAAAGGGTAAAAATTGTAGAGGGTAATATTGTGATGGGTAAAAATGTTACCAAAATATCACTAGAACAATCGACATTCTTTTTTGAATAAAATCCATTAATATTACAATTGATATATGAAATTTACTATTTTAATATTAAGGAAACTACCCGTGCATAAATATGTCTAAAATAAAACATTGCAACAAATTATAATAAATAAATACAATTGATAATAAAAGTTTAATTGTAAAAAAAGAAGATTGGGAAACTAGCGACTGTAAAGGTGCACACACAACTCAGTAGCAAAGTTGGGTAGGATAGAATTTTCAGTTTCCTCGGGTTGCAGTCTTTCATCTAAAAATTTAAAAAAGCATAATAAATATTAAGTCGACTTCACATCACTCAAATAGTCAAATTGAAAGTTGCTTTCATTTCTGTTGACACTTGGAACGAATTGTAAATTGAACGAAATTCAATGCTTTCGATTTGACATTTAACCTAAGAGGAATGTAAATAAATTATATTTTAATCGAATTTATATACTTGATACTGTCTAATTAGTACAATTTTAGTCTGTCTGAAACTTCTTGTAAAATAATTTGAAAAAAAAGAAATTTAGTTTTATAAAGATGATACAAAAGAAATTAGGTTTGAAATAAAAGAAGTTTCAAGAAATCAATATTTATAATAATTATATAATCAAATTAGAAATAAACTCAAATGCTATATATATATATATGAACGAATGATGCTTCTTGAAATATAATGTATACTTCTGCGATGTCAAATGAAACTTAATTTATTATTTACAAAATGTCGCCTAACCTAAATTCAAATTTTTATAATAGTTCTTGATTCTAAATTTAATTCACTCAAATTTCTGTATTCCCTAATTTTAAATCTTTTTAAATAAATTTTAATCTAAAATATAATATAACAAAACGTTTAGTAAATAAAACAAATATTAATCGAAATTTTAATTAAACGAATTTCTAATTTACCAAAACGTTTGACATAATTCTTATTTTTCCTTTTTTGAATTTGATATACATTGAATTCAGTTGAATTTCAAACAAGACGAAGTCTAAAAAGAACTATAGTTCTTTAGAACTTCATTTCTATAGAAATGTAATAGTCCCTAGATTCCCGTTTTATCAATTCAGAACATTAAAGTAAAGGAAAGAAATTTTAAAACTTATTTTTGGGATTTATAAATTTTTTTATAAATTATTATGACCAAAGATATAAACAACAAATTTGCAATAAACTATACCTTAAGAAATTATCACATTAGTAAATTGTATTTACATTTATGACTTAAGTTTTTAAAAATAAATTTAACTTTAAGTTGAGGAAGTTGGCAGTAAGTCGCAACTTTTTAAAACATTTGTTAATGTTATCTTTTTTAAGATGTTTGCATCAATGTCTTTTACTGCCACATCTCTTAAAATGGATATTGAAATAAATGCAAACTGCTGTTTAGCGTTTGCCGGAAATTGGACTTGAAATATCCAATAGACGGCTAGCAATAGAAGTATGGCTTCATAGCCGTGTGCTTCAAAAATTGGTGTGCCATCTATGTAGCACATTGTGTGCATCATATTCAATGGCCTGTTTGCTATAGCTATCAATTTTGGAGCCTCATCAACACCCGGAATAGTATTCGCGATTGGCGTTCCACTCTATGCAACAAAAATTATTAAAATACATTTATTATTAAGTCGATGTTAAAGAATTTCAAAAGTAAAATATAACTAATTTATTTAATCGCCACTTATACTTACCGGAAAACAGTTAAGAATTTTTCCGCCTTCTTTTGCCTTTGTGAATAATTTAGGCAGATGATATAATACAGCCATGGTCTGACCATCAAAAGAAAGATTTTTTCCAGAAATTTGCAAAGCAGTAATTACTTTGGGGAGTATCTCAATCCAATTCTGCTTCAAATCATTAGCAGTTAAATTTATCAGCTGGCAAAATTCTTCAAGAAGCTGTAATTATAGAAATTCAAAGAAAAATTAGCATTTTTATCCTTCTTCAATGATAAACAGGGATGGCTTCATATGTAACCTATATTGTACTATAAAAAATAAATTTTTATAGTAAAGTGGATTAAGTATAAACCCATGCCTAATTATAAATTATTCTAAAACCGCATTACAAATTACACAAAAAATTTTGCGATAATCACTTATTTTAGAGTATAATTGTTTGAATTTAAAAGAAGATTATGAGAAGACTATAGACAGAGATTAATGAAATTTAAGAAATTAAAATATCATAGCCGAACAGATCAACAGGTTGTTCTTTAAACAAATAATTTTACCATATCCTTTCTTCGGAGTGCGGGATACCTATCTAAAATTTCTGAGGCATTCACTTTACTAATGGCCATCATTCTGGACCTTCTGGTCGATTGCAATTCCTTCTTCATGCTAGGTTTTTTTGGTTCAACTTTACTCGATGAAGTTCCTTTACAACGTGAACTCTTTTTATCCTTTGTTCTCAAATATTTAAAACAGTTTTTCATTCGGGCATGTGTCTGATCCTATTTAATGTAAAAAAGACGTCATAGAAAAATATTTGATAAATTTTAAAATTGTATATATAAACAAAGGGATTTAATGGCAACTAAAGTTAAAAGTTTGCTAATTAAAGAAATGTTTAAAAATAAATATCTAAAATTCTCGCTATTCTCATCGAGATTGAAAAACGGAATATTAAATCTTTAAGTTTTGGTGTAGAGGAATAAAATAGAAAAGAATAGGACTTTAAATTCTTCAACGAGCAACATTAAAAGTATGAAAAATTTATCGTGTAATATAATTTGATTCTATACTTTATAAGAGTGTAATAAAAATTATTATTATAATTCAGGAAAAATATTTAATTAGTTTAAGGCATTTTTTTGTAAACTTCTTAGAAATTGTGACGCGATTTGAAGAAAGGAACCATCGAAGCAAGCTATTATAAATTATGTTTGCAATTTTTTAAATGAAAAAACCAAAAAAGAATCAAGTGCCAATATAAATCGTTGATGATTAAGTTTTCATTTTGACTAAAATATTTAATAAACACTGATTTAAATTTGTAATAAGTAAAAAGAAACCTTCAGTAAAAAAACTAGCAGTAACATAACCTTAAAGTGATTTGCTTCTAAGGTTCCTTTTTTAGATCGCGTTACAAATATTACCACGGTTATCAAATTTTTAAACGAAGAAACTTACATGTTTCGCACCATATGCACATTCAAAATATTGCGGATATTTGTCTGTCAACAGGATAGACATTTCCTCGATAACGCATGGATTATCGAAACCTGCATCGATCATATTTTTCGAAATTAGTCGTACTATTAATGATTTTTGACTTTCTGTTAGTTTTTTCCTTTTTATCTATTAATTCCTGCGTTTCCTTTGGTAATTCGATCCTCATGAAAACACTTATGTCAGTCTGAAATAAAAAAACAAATAAAACAGTACTAATTATTATACAATTCATTGTAGGAACTATTGTAACAATGTTGTTTACGAAAGTCTTCTTTACAGTCAAAACTACAATTTTTCAATAAATTATTCTTTATTACCGTTTCATTCATTTCTAAAATTTCTTCGTCTCCACTATTATTTTCTGATTCAGGCACGTTTGATCCCGAATTTTCTTCAATAGTTTCATCTAGGTTTTTTTCTTCGCTACTTTCATTGTGTATTCCTTGATCAATGAAAGAATTGTCCGATAAATCATGAGTATTGTTAATTTCTTCCTCAAGGGATTCTGAATGTCTCTTATGACTAATTGGGACACAATCGCAATAACCGCATCGGGAGCTCTTTGAATCTTGTCGCCATTCAAACTCTGGACATTCGTTACACTGTTCGCAACGTCCTCTTTTTACCCCCTTCGAGTCAATATTAGTCTGCATCTTTCGCTAAATTCGTAGTGTTGTTTTTCTTATTAAAATTTTAATATCTACATGGAATAATTTTTCTTTACAATCCTTTTTTAAAGATAATATAAACAGCAAGCAGAATCCACAAGCGTTGTTGTTCAATTGTTTACACTAAATATGCACTTCTAGTCACTTTGTTCAGGGTGGGACACGAGACGGTAACTACATGGCTACCTCTTTTCTTTTGCGTTTTGTCTTGTAAAGGTCAATACACAATCGCTTCGCGAAAGTCGTTTGCAAAAGTGAGGCGCTGCATGCTTGTGTTCGAACGCTACGGCATTGAATAATAAGGGAGAGAGAGATACACGTATATTTTTCTCCTACTTATGGCACGGCCACAACTTGGCTGCCTGCGCAGGTAGCCGCAACTAGAGTAAGGGAGAGAAAACACAATTTGAATTGTCTGACTCTCTTACTCTAATGTATTGCCATGACGACCTGCAGTCAGGCAGCCGAGGTGAGACCGTACCTTAAAGTCCAACGCACAATAGGTTCGCGAACGAGACACATGAGATAGACAAGGACACAAATATATCTCTGTCCTTTTCTAACTCATGCTTTGTGTTCGCGAACTTATTCTGCTTAGGCCTTATCACCTGCTTAACACTCATGGAGGGTTTACACCTTCTATAAAAATTGCTCAGAAAGGAATATTTGCATTGGAGTAAGAGAGTCAAATACACAGTCTGTCTCTCTTACTCCAATGAAAAATTTTCCGTTCTGGAAAATTTTACCGAAGGTGTAAATGCTCCCTTAGGGTGCGATCTTATGTGATCAGAATGTGTCGACCGACAGTAGAAAATCTTGAGTGCAAAAGAGAAAGAGATAGGTAGATATTGTTGTTCTTTTCACTCTTATGATTTTCTGCCTTCGGTCGATGTATTCTGCTGCTCACATGGGATCGCACTCTCAGGGTGAAGTCCCATGGCAGCGTTTTGCGTTGCGTTTTGTAACTAGGCCATGAGTGCAAATATAGCAAACATATATCTCCATCTCTCTCACACTCATTGCCTAGTTACAAAACGCAACGCAAAACGCTGCCATGGGACTCCACCCTCACTACTCAAGGCAAAACGCAGCGTTCGAACGCAAGCATGTGAACACCGCCTGAAGGTCTATCTCCATTGTGTGTCTATTGAAGAAAGGCCTTAAAGCAGTTGTGCGTTGAGTCCTAAAGTTTTAATGCATAGGTTATGTAACCAAATGTCAACAACAACCTGTCATATCTTAAAAACTAAGTTCAAGTTACAATAGAAATTAAAATTTATTTACTTTATGGAGCATCACAAAACGTCTATCAATTCGTCCACAAAATTACGTATATATATATATATATATATATATATATATATATATATTACATGTACTAGGAAAAAGTATAGATTACAAAAAAAATTATTCAAATGATTATTGTTTATTGCAGCAAGACTATTTTAATACATATAATACATAATGATGTCATTAATGAAATAAAAAATTTGTTTTCAGAAATAATATTATATATTTATACTAAGTTTAATTTGGATACGACAACAAATATGTATGGAGCAGCCTAGATTTTCAGAAAGAGTACACGACATGAAATATAATGTATATGCATACTCTAGAAACACTAAAGTGTAAATTATTTTGGGAATGTACTTCTGTAACAATTCTGAAATGATTATCTATTAATTATATAATTTATAAGGAACAAATTTATGTCTTTCAGCATAGTAAATTATTTAATTATTTTTAATGTGAATTTGTAATAAATTTTGTACATAGAAATTAAGATTAAATATCAGTGGTTTCACTGATATTTCACTATCGCAAAAAATTGTGAAACAGTTGATTTGTATGTTTCAACATTAAATTATAAGTTAATTAAGGTTAACCTTAATTAAACTAGCAATATAGTCAAAAGCATTTATAACGATTGTTTTTTAAAAAGAATTAGAAATGATTATAACCAATATGACTATTATAAAATTCAATTTATGTCTGAAGTAAAAAATTATAAGAAACTATCTTATTTTAAATGTCAAAAACTATAATATGAGTCGTACCAAAATATTATTATTATTAACTATATTAATATCCGTATTCTTTCATTTATTCTGTCCGCAGTTTGAAGTTAGTTTCTGTGTATGTATTTTTAAAGTATTGTTTGAAAAAATGGAACATATGCAGGAATTTTTTCATGATTTATAATAAAATAATAAATTATAAACTTATTTTTTTGGGAAGAAAAACATTAGATATTCCCGTTTCTTAATATTTTTGTAGAAAATTATCTATTTTCATAAGGAAATCATTTTCATCAATTCTATTTTTCAATTTCAATTGTTTTAATACAATTCAAAATTTTTCTTAAATAAAGGAATAAAATGTTTATAAATTATATTTAGCAATTAGAAAATTCAATTGAAAATAAAACTGAAAATTTTTGAATTTTTAGAAAATAAAGGAAAAATTTTATAGAAAAAAATGTTCTGTTAAATTTATTTACGAATATCTTTAATTGCAAAATTATTTGAAAACAATAATTTTATTTTTAAACATTTTAAATATTTAATTATTATTATTTTACAGTAGGAATTAGGATTTATCAAAATTTCAAATTCAAATCTTTTTGAAATTAATCAACTTTAAAAATATTGTTATAAAACGTAAAGATAATAATTAAAGAGGATCGAGTGTTAAAATCATTATTTTATATTATAAGAACATTGTTCCTCTAACTTTTTAAAAATTATTTTCATATTGTATTATTTTTTAAAATTTAAACTTAAATTCATTTTTAAATCCATATTTATTAGAAAATTCTATTAGAATTCAATTATTTAAATACAAAAATAAATAATTTATTTAATAATTGAATGTTTCTTAAAATTTAATTTTTATAAAGAATCTTGTTAACAAATTTTTAAATAATTTCATTTTTTTACGATTTTGAATAACATTTTTAGGAATAGTTACATTTTTCAAGGAATTGGATTAAAATTTTATTAACAATAATTGAAAGACAACTATAAGTTTTATTATTTCTGAAAATAAGTGAAATTATTAAGAAGAAACAAAAAATTTGTAAATATTTGAATACCTGTGAAATTATTATTATTTATAAAAATAATTAAATGTTTGCGTACAATTTTATTAAAATTGTTCTTAAATAATTGTTTTCTTATGGGTAATTTTATTACAATAGTAGATATTAAAAATGATTGAAATGAGGAAATTTTTTGAAAATAATTGAAATTTTGAAGAAGAATTTTTCTATTTATAAAGATAATAATTGGTTTTTCGTCGAGATTTTTCTATAAATTTTGAACGTAATTAAATTATGTGATAAGGATTTTATTACGTTTATGAGTCAAACTAAAACGTCACAAATATTCAGAATTTTTCTATGAATTCTAAAAATTAAATTTTTTCAGAACTTTTAATAGAAATTTAAGACTTTTCCCTGAATTAGCTATGTCAGAATATATGATTATTATAATTATAATAATATTAAAACTATATATTCCAATTCACATATTTTATTTTTATAACAAAAATTTTTACGTTATATTATTTTTAAAAACCTGCAATTTTTTTTAAAAAAAAGTGAGCCAGAAGTCAGCGGCACCCAAATTGTTGCTAGTAAGGTTTCAAAATTGGAGACAATTTATTGTATTTCTTTTGTAATATCTTTTTAACTAAGGTATAAAGGTACTCTGCAGATGTTCTTCTTAAACGAATACAAATTTGAAAATACAACACCAAACTCCGTTTGTTATTTCTATAATTTATTATTTTTACGATGTAAAATATTTTTTCAATCAAAGATGATACAGAATACAAATAGAAACGTATAAAAAAATCCATAAACTATTTTTGTGGAACACAAAAACATTGACAAATAGTTTCTTCTTCTTTGCTAAATTTAGAAAATTTGAAATATCTTTAGGAAAATTATTCCCATAATTTTTATTTGTTAATAACGATTTTTAACGTGATTATTTAAAAATTTCTTGTTAAAATTTGCATAATTTCTATTTTTTATCACATTTTTTTGACGAAATCTCAATTACGTTTTTGAAAGAATTACAAAATTTTCATAAATTTTTTTATCATTACAAAAATTAAATATTGTTAGAAATTTCTTTTTAAATCACCTTTATTATAAGAAGAAATTTTCAGAAAACGACCTTTATTAGAAAAAAGATATTAAAAAATTACCTTAATTTGAAAAATTATTTTCAGAAATTCACCTTTATTAGAAAAGTGTTTTAGGAAATCAAAAATTAGAAAAGACGATTTAGAAAAACTGCATCTCAACCATACCATTCTGAATTCTTCAAGATGCTGAAATCTGCAAATTTAAAATAAATAAAAGTTTATTAATCATAAAACATATTAAAAATAACTGACTGTAT